AGAAAACAGATATTATTACACACACAGCAAACAGCAAAATACAAACACACAACAGCAAAGACAGTCTCGCAAAACATTTAAAGTCTCTCATAGAAAAAAAAGCATAAAAACTACAAAATATGCCCATTACACAATTAATACTCACAAGCATGACCCTGCAAAACATACAAAAAACTTTACACAATACACCTTACCATAAAACACAGTTAAAATGCCACAATCAGTAACATAAAACATCCACCAAGACCAAACAAACCGTACAACAAAAACACATACCACAAAAATAATCGCCCCAAAAACACATAAAACATCAACAAACAAAGCAGCAACAATTTAGACTAACAAATTAACCACGAGAACCAAACATGTAGCAAACAAAAAAAAAAAAAAGAAAGAATAACAACAAAAACACACAAGGAAAATTATCAAAAGAGAAACAAGCAAAATAACACCAGACAGAACAACAGAATTCCTCCACATCACCCAGACATATATTTCCATCACGAAATATGTGGACTTAGCGCCCCACCTGGTGGAGATTCAAAAACTCCACACACCACCGTACCAAAACATTCCGTTATTGTTATAGTCACTTCACCACCTCCTATTAGTAGTCCTACATCACCACCTGGTGTTCAATCAACGCTACAACCATGGTTAGCGTGATATTAGAGAGCTAGACTTCAAAACTCAGGGTTGGCACATAAATCACACTCGGGGGTCATTGCTGTGAGTCAAAGCAAAGGGTCTAGGTCAGCTTTAAGAGCTCATTCATATCAATCCAAATAAAGATACAGGTTCCAATAATACTCAAATGTTTAGTGGGTAGGGGTAGGAGGCGGGTTAGGTGAGGGTTAGGGTTAGAGGGTTAGAGTTAGGGTTAGAGGGCTAGCATTAGGGCTAGGATTAGAAAAAAGAGTTTTAGGGTTAGGGTTAGGTTTAGGAGAGAAATTGTGGAGTGTCCTGGCTCCTGTTGTGCCCATTGCCCATTGTCACCCTGGCCCAGCCCTGCTGCCCTGCACATGGCCCCTGTGCAGGCAGTGCCCAGCACACGCTGGGAGCAGGGGCAGGAACCATCTGCTCAGCAGGGTTCCCAGCTGAGCCCTCAGGGACCCTTCCCCAGCACTGCCTGCCCTGCGGCCTCCCACAGTGCCCGGCCCCTGCGCACTCCTGCTCCTGTCCCCTGGGCTCAGCACAAGGCCCTGCTGAGGGCTCTGCTGGGCTCGGGGCACACACAGAGCCCACGCAGGGCGCCCATTCGCCCCATGGAGCTGCTGCGCCCAGCAGGCACGCGGAGCTGGGCACCTTCCAAGAGGAGCCCTGCCGGGACCATGGCCAATGGGCAGTGCTGGAAACGACTGCTAACAGGGGCTGATACTGGGGGTAGTTTGCAGTTGCTCCTCTCTCTTCCTTCCAAAGAAATCAACATAAAAATTGTCTGGGCTCGATGTTTGTTCTGACAGGTTCTTTTGAAGGTCCCCATGGGAGGAGGATGGTCCCCTGGCCCCATACACAGCCCCAGCATCGTCTCTGAATGCTCCCTGCCAGCTCTGCAGAGGCCCCAGGAGAGGCCTCGTCCTCCCCGGGCTCACAGCTGCACACACCGTCCTGCATCTGGGCATGGAGCCTGCTCTGAATGGGGCCTTTGGAGCAATGGGCAGCATGCAGAGTGGGGCAGATTGTCTCAAGGCCGTGTGCTGGGGACAGGTGCTGAGAGACAGTAGCAAAGTGATGTGGCTCCTGGGTCCTGCTTCCTTCAATGCAGGTCCCAACAAGGGCTCTCAGCCTTAGAGTCGGTGCCACCCGCCCTTCAGGAGGGCTGATGCCAGAGCTGGGAGGATGGGCAGCATTGATCCTTCTTCCTCTGCTTCCCAGGCCATGTGGAAGCTCACTGTAGTGGACCCACACTCTGAATATTATCTTGGATTCAAGGTCAGCAGTTTTCTCTCCAAGATCCCTTCACGCCCAGTTCCACTTCCCTCTCATCTCAACAATCCCTACTCTGATCTGTTTTCTGTTCCCACAGTTCCCAGGTCCTTCTTGTGGGCAGGTTCTTGGGCATATTATTGACATCAGGCAGTGCAGGCTCTGGACAGAACGATTTTATTATAGAGGAACCAGTAAGGGAGCCAGTCCTGATCCAAAATATGACACAATTTAATGAACCGGGTGAGAGAGAACAGTTTCCAAAAAAGTACCCTGCATCCAAGTACTTGTTGAGCAACATGATTTCCATTATTATTACTAATAAAAGGCACAATGAAAATAACATGAACAAATAGGACCTAATCAAATTTTAATATAGAAAGAGCAATTGTGGAGACAAAAGACCATTTTACTAGTGTTGAAAAACGTCTGTGAAATCACTTTCCTCAGGGAACCCTTCAGCTCATGATTTTTCATGCTGTAGATGAGGGGGTTCACTGCTGGAGGCACCACTGAGTACAGACCAGCGAGCACCATGTCCAGAGCTGGGGAGGAGATGGAGGGAGGCTTCAGGTAGGCAAACGTTGCAGAACTGATAAACAGGGAGACCACAGTCAGGTGCGGGAGGCACATGGAAAAGGCTTTGTGGCGGCCCTGCTCAGAGGGGATCCTCAGCACAGCTCGGAAGATCTCCACATAGGACAACACAATGAAAATGAAACACCCAAACATTAAACAGGCAGTAAACATAAGAAGCCCAACTTCCCTCAAGTACCAATCCGAGCAGGTTAACTTGAGGATCTGGGGGATCTCACAGAAGAACTGGTCCAGTGCATTGCCTCGGCAAACTGGAATTGAAAATGTGTTTGTAGTGTGCAGGAGAGCACTGAGAAACCCACTGGCCCAGGCAGCTGCTGCCATTTTCACACAAGCTCTGCCGCTCATGAGGGTCCCATAATGCAGGGGTCTGCAGATGGCCACATAGCGGTCATAGGCCATGACTGTGAGGAGCGAAAACTCCCCTCCAAATAAGAAGACAACCAGGAAGACCTGGGCRGCACATCCTGAGTAGGAAATGGTTCTCATGTYCCAAARGGAATTGGYCATGGATTTGGGCACAGTGCTGGAGATGGAGCCCAGGTYGAGGAGGGMGAGGTTGARGAGGAAGAAGTACATGGRGGTGTGGAGGTGGTGGTCGCARGCTATGGCYGTGATGATGAGGCCGTTGGCCAGSAGGGCAGCCAGRTAGATGGYCAGSAAGAKGGAGAAGTGCAAGAGCTGCAGCTCCCRCATGTCKGMAAATGCCAGGAGGAGAAATTCATTGAAGGAGCTGCTGYTGGACATGTGTTCCATTGGGCTCAGGAAAACTGTCAAGGAAGAAAAGGTAGTGAAAAATTAGAAAAACTTCCTCTAGAAAAAAATCCATTTTTCATAACAATACTTCCCACCTTCCCTTCCCATCTCTCATTAATATAGAGAGTTTTATTTTCTTCTTCTCAGGGTAACCTCTGTCTTACCCAGCGGATGATTTCACCCTCAAGTGTCTCTAAAATGCTATGGAGCTCTGATGAGATAAGGGAAGGCGGGTTTCAAAGCAATGATCTAACTCTGCTCTCCTTAGCCCAAGAGGGACATGTGATGGGGAGAACAGGACACTGCTCCTGACTTGGATGATCACACCAAGGATCCAACACCTTCCCCAGCCCCTCCAGCTGCACTGCCCAGCAGTCTGGGGTGAGAACCAGCCCCAGGCACCTCAGCCCTGTGCATGCAAGGACGTCAGGCTGCCAGAGTATCCTGAATTTGTAGCTGAAGCCCCAGCTGACCACAAGAACCAGGGCAGAGAGGACAGGTTGGGAAATACGGAGAATCACCGTGACTCTGCTGTCAAGGGAGGACAGAGAGACAGAGGCACCAGCCCCAGGTTCCACCTCCTAGATGGTGGCACCTCCCAGGGCAGAACTTCTCAGCACAGGTGCCTTGCAGTGGGAAATGGACCCGTGACAGGAGAGAGGCAGCTCTGCTCTCCTGCAGATCTGACCACAGAAGGTGCAAGATGCCCTAGAGCCCTTCACCTTCAGAGCAGAGTGAGACTAAGCATGGTGAGAATGATGAGAACTGCCAAGGGGATATTGCTGCAGCGCTCACATGAAAAGGCAGGTGAAGGGACAATCTGTGATCCTGGCAGACCTATGGATCCCTCACAGTAGCTCTGCAGGACTCTCAATTAGTCACCTCAAGCTAAAGCATTCTCTTCAGCTGGTGCCTTGACAAAGATGCAGCCCAAAATCTGAGCCTCTTCTGTCTGACTTTTCTTACAGGGGATCTTCCCATGAGTGTCCTCTAGAAAAGTTGTGGGAATGACCTGGATCAGGGGGCAGCCATAACACTCGCTAGGAGAATGAACCTGCTCTGATGGGTGTCTCTCTTCTCATGCAGAGCCTCTCCCCACTGCAATGCAGGGAGCTTCTACAAAGGCTGAGTGCTGACCTAGAGCTTCTAGGACAGCTGAGTGCTGACCCTYCCAGCTGGCAGAGTCACTGCCTGGGCACACAGGATGCAGGGGTGCAGGGGCACTGCTCTGAATTACAGCCCTGAACACACCTGCATGCACACCCCATGCACACTTCACTGTCCTGCACCAGCTCTGGAAGAAGTGGACATGATGATCTGCCCTGTGATGCTGCAACTCCCTGCTCCAAAGCATCTCCTCCTCCTTCACAATGAAGAACTCAGGAGAAATAATCCTTTAAAAAGTCGTTGGCTGGGATCCATGCACAAGACCTCTCCAGGAACCTTAAGAACATCATGCTGTAGATAGAGACTTACCATGTCAAAAATAGTTATCACCATCACCTCTCCTCTGTGCTTTCAATGTACATGGCTGTTCCCTCTCTCTGCCTCCTCTCCTCTGCTGTGCGCAGCAGCAGGCAGTGCCCGCAGCCCTGCTGCTCTGGGCACAGCAGCTGCTCCTGCACACGGTGGCTCTGGGCAGGGCTGCCAGCCTGCCACGAGCTGCCTGCGTCCCACGAGCCTGGCCCCGCTCAGCAGCAGAGGCCCAGATCAACTCACCAATTTCTCCATCCCTTGGGATCCCTTCTCCTGGGCAAAAATTTACTTAAATAAATTAAAATACTCACCTGTTGTCATTTCCTAATGAGTGGAGAGAGATGGATTCCAACATTGCAATTTATTGCATCAGAAAATGACTGTTTATGAAAGTTGGAAAGGTCCCACTCTGGAACACCTGATTTACTTTGCTTAACTAGGCAACAAACCTAGATGGGACAAGAAGGGAACTCTTTGACACATGGTTCAGGTCTTGAGATATCAAGTTGGGTATGTCATATTATCATAGAATCATTATGACTGGAAAAGACCTTCAAGGTCTTGGAGTTCAACTGTAAAATCTTTGATCCCATTCCTGGTAAACCACATTCCTCAGTGCTTCCTCTACATGTTTCTTGAACACTGCCAGACAAGTGGCAGTCCCTTCCTGGGCAGCCTAGTCCAGCGCTTCACCATTCTTTCCACATACCAATGTTTCCTAATTTCTATTCTGAGCCTCCTCTGGCACAACTCGGGGACATTTTCTCTTGCTCTACCTGTAGTTATAGCGGAGAAGAGATTGCCCCCCCTCACCGCCAACTGTATTACAACCGCCTTTCAGGTATTTTTAGAGAGCCCCGCATCTCCTCTAGACTAAATATCTCCAGCTCCCTCCGCCGCTCTTCTGAAGGTCTGTGCTCCAGCCCCTTCACTAGCTTCCTTGCCCTTCTTTGGACATGCTCCTTCTCCCCAAGGTCTTTCTTGGAGTGAGGAATCCCAAAATTGAACACAGTGTTCCAGGTGTGGCCGCACCAGCGCCAGATGCAGGGGGAGAATGACTTGCCTATTCCTGCTTTTGTTCCTCGCACAAGCCAGGAGGTCTCTGGCCTTTCTGGCTACCTGGGCACACTGCTGGGTCATGTTCAGCCGGGTCTCAACCAACACCCACATATCCCTTTCTTCTGTGCAGCTCTCCAGCCCCTTTGCTTCAAGCCTGGAGAGCTGAATGGGGTTGCTCTGACAGCAGAGCAGGACTCAGCGCTTGGCCATATGGAACCTCCTGCAGGTGACCTCAGCCCACCACTCTACACTGTCCAGATCCCTCTGGGGTGTCCTCCTACCCTCAAGCAGATCAACTCTTCCTCCCAGCTCAATGTTGTCTGCAGATGTGCTGAGCGTGCACTCAATACCCTCCTCAGGATTATCAATAATGATATTAAAAGGACCAGCCCCAATACAGATTCCTGAAAAACACTGCTCGTGTCCAGTCCCCAGGTGGATTTAACTCCATTCACCGTCATTCAGCTCAGTCATTCAGACAGTACTTCTGCCAACAAAAGGACTCCTGTCTAAGCCCTGAGCTGCCACAGCTTCTCCAGGAGAGGACTCCAGTGAGAAGACTCTGCTGTAGAAGTAGAAGACCTCCAGAGAAGACTCTCCCACTCTCCAGTGGGAGACTGTGCCAAAGGCCTTCCTGCAGGCTAAGCAGAGCATGACCACAGCCTTTCCCTCATTCACTAGGTGGGTCCCCTGGTCATAGAAAGGGATCAGGTTGGTCAGGGAGGACCTGCTTTACATGAATCCATGTTGGCTGGGCCTGTTTCTCTGATTATAACTCACATGCTGCCTGTTTGCCCTCCAGGTGATCTACTCTCTAACTTTGATAACTAATAATCTGCTTCATAACATTCCCCAACATGGAGCACAGGCAGACAGGCCTGTAGATCCCTGGATCCTCCATCTGACCCTTCTTGTAGATGGGTGTCACATTGACAAGATTCCGGTCATCTGGGACCTCTCTTGTTCAGCAGGAGCCTTGATAGATGAGAGATCGATTTGGCGAGGATTTCTGCCAGCTCCCTCAGAACCCTTGTGTGGATTCCACCTGGCGCCATACAACTGTGGGTGTCCAAGTGGAGTAGCAGGTCACTGACTGTTAGTCAGTGATTATCAGGGAATTATCAGGCGGGTTATTCTGCTCTCCATAGCTGTCTCCTATGCCAAATGCTGTGGTAACTGTAGGCCCGACCGTGGCCACACCACATTCATGAACACTCTGCTGACTCTGGATGGGGCCGCATTCCAAGCAATTAGTTCAGTTCATGAAGAGTAGGATTTATTGCATGGCAACATTTACCAAGCAGGTTTTGCATGTCAGTGCAGGAGGTTACAACCCGATGGTCGGGTTCGTAGCTACCTCTAATGGACAAATGCGCAGTAATCACTCACCTAAGGAGATGGGAGAGGTCTCTCAACTTCGAGGATGCTCCTCGGACAGTGTCCTGACCGGAGGGGAGACTTCACTGCAGAGTTGCTACTTTCAAGGAGAACCTAACTGAGACTTGCAAAGCCATGCATTAATTCTACACTCTAGTCAAATTGGGAGGTGGAGTAGAAAATGGGAGAGAAAGAGGGAAAGTGCAGGAAAAAGCAAAAGTCTGTTTGGAAAGCTAGGAAAGCATTCTCTAAGCAGAATGGAGGAAGTGGTAAAAGGGAGAGGATCCTGAAAGATGGAGCAGAGAGGGAAAGGACAGAGGTGGCAGAGTGCAGAGCTGGGCTGCCAGCACCCAAGAGGGGCTGGAAAAGAAGTGCAGTGAAGGCAGGGAATGGTTTGTCTGTCTGCAGGATCCTCTCGTGGGCACCTGACACTGGCACCAAGGGCAACCACTTGCTCCTCATGGATCTGCTCTTCTCAGAGTGGGGACCCTGGAGTCTTTGCCCCCAACAAGGCCATCGTCACCATGGGGATCACTCCCTCACAACGGCCTTGTGGGCACGATGGCACTGCCATCACAAAGCCCTTGTGGCTGCTATGGGGAAGGACCCCCATCATGATGCCTTGGTGGTGACCTTGGGAGCCCATTGAAAGTTCTCTAGGAGCAAGCCAGAGAGATTCACATCCTTCCCAAGCACAAGCTGGGGGCCATCGGGGAGAGGAGGGTGTCCTTGGCCACCTGAAATGGAATCACACATGTGCATGGAGAGCATCTGAGCCCCTCTTGGTCTGATAGGTGCATGGACCCTAGAGGCCCATGCAGCTGAGCAGACAGAGGATGCCACCATGATGAGGGCCACTTCTCTCTCCTGGTCCAACCACAGGGTAGAATAGAGCACCAAAGACAGTAAAGTGGCATGTGCACCGCCCTGCATGTCAGGCACCTAAACTAATTCTGAGGTCTCATTTCTATGGCATAATCAAGGTGTCTAGTGCTGTGCCAGGTTCCTACTGTGCCCAGCACAGCCACATTTAGCTGACAAATACAGCACAGGACCTCTAGGAAAGCCACGAGCTCATGAAGTAGCTG